CATGGTATTTTAAAAAAGTCTTGATAATTTTTTGTTTTATATAAGCTTGTAGCTCCTGGTGAAAAATATTTTCAGCACAGTTCATAAACAGTAATTTTTTTCAAACAACAAAAACAATATTTAACCATAATTTAAAAAATGTTGAATTTTTAACACACATGTCAGCATCGGATCAATAAATAACTATACATAAAATCTAATGTACTATGTAAAATTACAAATAAATAATGTACAGTCTATAATGTTGTATGAATTAAAACCAAACCAAAAATTATCAAGACTTTTTTAAAATACCATGTTTTGATTACTAGTTTAATTTATAATAAATTAGTTTTATGTTTTATAACTACAAAGCCCAGCTACACTTTAACCCTGGTGTTTGTCTGTATAACTATGTCTGTGAAGGGAGGGGAAGTCAGTTATTGTATCAATACCTGTATGGATAAGACAAGTGCCAGCCCTGCGAAGGGGGCGCCCACCGAATGGCGACCAAACACGGCAAACAACGCGGCGAATAGGGTGACCAACGCGCACAAAATATCCACCCGAGTGGACAACCATCTCACTGAGCAGTGATACAAAAAATTTGCCGCCGATTGCCTGTCCACCAGCGCATGTAGTCTATTTGCAAACTCACGTTCCCTGCCGTAGGCTATGATCGTCGACCGGCCGTCTATAGTGGCCGTAACGTGACTATAAACCGGGGATCGGGCGGCACTTTCCAGCCGTTTCAGGTCACGGGTGGCCCCTCTGAACAGCCGGTGTATTAGCCCATAGGCTAGGGCTAGCGCAGCGAATGGGGCGGTAAACCACGGGTAGACAAACACGATTACCCCGACGTTGCACAGGACAACCATCAGGCGCTGACAAAAGCCGTCCAAAGCCTGCGGCACCTGAGTGTCCATTTCGTCCATATCGCGCACAAATACGTTGAGTACCCGACCCGCCGGTACGGTGTGGTAAAAGGCTAGAGGGCTGTCCAAAACTCGCCGAAATACCCGGTTGTGTAGCCGTTTAGAGGCACCCAAAGTGACCTTGGTGAATCCGTAACCCAAGGCGAGGGTTGTCATAACTACCACTATTACTGATAATCCGTATACCGTTTGATAGGTGCTGAGGTCCGGGTTGTTAAGTATACTGTTGGCAACACTAGACTGGTTGGGATGTGCGACACCGGTATGTGTGGTCTGTAATAGAGATTAGTGTTTGAAAAACTAAAGTTGTTTTTTCCAGTGGACATGACATACATTTCCCGATCCCTGCGCTAACCAATAGCCTAACCACCAGTTGGCAAACGAGTTGCACCCGGCCTGCAGTGCCAGCCACGCAATGAGGAATAGGGTGACCAGCGGTCCTCCGCCGGCTTTCACGTACGCCAAATACGTGTCCCACGATATGTCACCGCCTGTGGCGACCCTTTCGTCGGACATTAAACGACCGGACATTAACTTAGAGTACGAATCGCAAGCCTCGTCGCCGGAGTCCGAATCCGTTACCACACCGGAGTCCGACCGCCTGTGCCGTACAGACTGTGTTATCGTCCCATTCGTGGTGTCTTTGAGCTGATCCTTAGCCACGTCTTCTTCAACATTAGCTGCCATTATATCGTCGGACGAGTCGATGAGTTGCCTATAATCTAAATCCGTGTCGTACAGCTCCCGGTGCGGACCCGTACGGACCAGTCGACCTTCGCGTACGTACACAACAAAGTCCATACCCGCCAAACACTCGGTCTGATGTGTGACCAACAGCACAGTCCGGCCCTTCAGTCCCCTATCGATGCACTCCCTGTATATATGGCGGACAACTGTCCGGTCGACGGCGGACAGGGGGTCGTCCAATAGGTACACATCGCGGTCCGAGTACAGAGCCCGGGCCAGACTGACCCTCTGGCGCTGTCCGCCCGATAGGGTGACACCGCGTTCGCCGATCTCTGTCCGATCGCCGGCCGGAAGTGCACCAAAATCAGGCCCCAAAGCGCAGCACCGAATTGCCTGATGGTAGCGGTTCGGGTCGTACGGCTGGCCAAACGTGATATTGTCTTGGATTGTAGTGTTTAGTATACAGGGCTCCTGCGCTACGTAGGCTACCGATCCCCTCAGGCCTACCCGACCCGATACGAGTGCCATTTGGCCGAGTATTGTCCGTAATAGCGATGTCTTGCCGGCGCCCACCGCCCCAATTACGCCCACGTGCGCCCCTACGGGCACATCTAGGTTTATGTCGGTTAAACACCGAGGTATTGTTGTAGTAGACAGTTGGCCACTCTCTTTATGCTCATCCCACGCGACTGTCACGTGGTTTAGATGTATGGCAACTGTAGGGCTATCGGTGTTGGCTGTGATATAGTCGGCCCTCTCCGGGCATTTCAGCACCCGTTCAATGCGGGCCAAAGCTATCCGGCCGTTAACAATGTCCCGGATATATATGGGTAGGGATCGGATACCGTGGGCGGCCATGTAGTTGATCATCACCAGGGTGAATGCCTATATGTTGTAATAAATCACCTAGTTATAATAAATGTTACATTTATGCAAAATCAATATGAAATGTACTTATGTACTTTGGCTGACGTAAGATCACCCCTACCAGCGCTGGTATAGACCAAAATTGTGATCACTGTTATGATCAACGGCGCGGTGACGGCCAGTGATGTGCTCACGCACTGCAAGTATTGGCACATCTTGAGCCACCGGATTTCCTTACGGCGATATTCTGTTGGGTAGGCCCGGGAAACAGCATAATTCAATTACTTAACAAGCATAACATGGTAAAACTAATCTAGGTTAAATAGGCACACCTATGACGCGTTTGGCGAATACCTGTTCCCAGCCGTACAGCTTAACGGTGCGAATGTGCGCCAGTAGTTCAGCCATAAGCGCCACCCGTTTGTCACTGTTGGCCACCGCTCGGCGCCGATACTCGGCCTGACCCCTAGCCGTAGCGAATTGTATGGCAAATATTGCCACAAACGCCAAATCACCCACCAGTGCCAGTGGGCCCAACAGCCACCACGTGTAGCCCACGGTTGCTAGTGTGACCACCGGGCCGCCAATGACCAAGGGCATTACGTGTACCATGTTAAACACTTTGCTCATGTCTACGGCAAACAGGTTGACTGTCTCGCCGATTGTGGCACTACTGGTGCCGCCCGCTGTCAGTAGTTTGCGGTATAAGAGACCGGTCAGCGCACTGCTGGTCCGGATACCAGTCCTGATGCATATGCCGTACATTATGGCATAGGATGAACACCGGGTCAGTTCGCACAGGAATAGTAAACATGTCCATTTTAGACCAGGCCCTATTGAACTAGAGTCCGTTTCAATATAATCAAGCAGATTTTTCAAAAATAGTGTCTAAATTGAATAAATAAAATAAGGTAATTTTTATTATTATATCTAGTTATACAATTTTAGTTTTTAAAATAAAGTTAGCGAGTGGTAAATTCTTACTGAACTTAAGTAACCCAATAAAAGGCACACGAGGTAAGCCATTGCGGCGAATATTAATCTAGTTTTAATAAATTTCACTATAACAGTGTGAAGGAATGACCGGGATAATCCATGTTTGCCGCATTCCTCATGCCATAAGTTGGCCATCCTGATAACCATAATAAATTATAAAAATTAATAGTTTAGCCCAGCTTATTGCAATAGTATTGTTCACATATTAAATCAGTATAAACAATATGAAACTCAAATTAAATTTAAAATAAACCTTGTTGTATTTGTATGGCACGCGTCCAATGGTGAGCACCGGTAGATATCCCGAGGCTGTAGGCCTTTGCGCTGGAATGAGCGCCATATGATTGGTGTCATCCATGAGTAGTACACGTGTGACAGACAGGAGGCGCCGTCGATGGGCATCGAGTCCTCCTTTCTATAATAATAATTATTATTAATTAAATTAAAATTTTAGTTGTTTTTGAAAATACTTAAATTTTCTCTGTCTGGGTAGCATAGATTGTTGTTTTACAACATGGTTATGTTTATAAATATTTTTAATAAGTTTACAGTCATCTAAATTACTTTTACCAGTTTTACCATATTGTAATCACATGTTTAACTTACATTTTAAATATATAATGTCAGTAATTAATTAGTATTTAATATCCTGTATTAATTAATATTAAATTGAAATAAATAATTAAATATATTACTTAATTTTATGATCATCATTGGTGTCCACAGGTATCCGCAGCTCATCGACCGAGATGTCCATTGGTTTAATTAAAATAATAACTTCAAATAATAATTTAAATGATAATTTAAAATGCTAATATTAAAAATTCAAACAATTTTTTGAAAAGTACTTGTGTTTTAAAAATTATTGCATAAAATTTCTAAAAATATAAATCAATGGTTTAATTGATGTTATGATTAGTGTTATGTTTAGCATAAGTTATATTACAAATTTAAAAATTGCTTACATTTACTGATAATTTCAATCAATATGATATGTTTTGAAATTAAAATATTTTACTGATATTATTATCAGCGATATATAAACTCATAAATCACCTTCATAGTCTAAAATTATGTAACTGACTCTAGATTGATTTATTTAGATTTAATAATACATTATAGTAATCATAATTAATCACAAACAAGATTAATAATAAATAAAATGTTGCATAACATTGCAATTTGTATTTATTTTATTTACGTAACATGAATTTCACAGAATAAACAAAGTAATTTTGCATTTCAATTTGGTACTTTCCAAGAGCAAGCTCGTATAAATAATTACCAATTATTTACATTATTATAATTAACAGGGTATTTCACCAAATAATAATATGTGCCATGTGACAATCTACATAAGGAAAATATTGTTTTAATAATTAAATTAAATCACCATACAGTCAATTGAGATACTGTACATTTAAAATATAAATATGAATTATATAACACACATTTCAAATCACTTTAACTGATCAAGTATTTATTAATTAAGACTATTTGAACTAAAATCTGAACAAAACTTAAAGTATTTTAGTTAACTTACATGTTATGCAAGCGTTTTAGTCGTTGGGTACGAGTGACCCAACACTGTTACACTATCAGTGCGTTTAGCACTTGTGGTTAAATGTATATCAGTTTCTCTAAACACATGCTAAAAATATCTCTAATCTATTAATAGATATCGTAATTCATTTTGGTTTTTATGAGAGGGTGGGATGAATTCGGGGGTTAATGTTTATAGCGTAAACATGTAATGTAATGTATAAACTAATTTAGTAACTAATAAATTAAATAAGCAAAATTAGCCAAATTGTTTGACTCAAATAATTGTAAATTTCACTAATAATACACTATTTTAATAACAGAAAACTTTAAATAATAATTATAAAACCTAACAATGTTTTTGAGCCTTACTATCATTGTACCTATAGTAGTATTATTTTTACTTTTAATTATTACAATTGCAAATTATTTAATTTAGTAAAACATCACATTCAAAACTTATTGTTTAATATTAATAATGTAAATACAAACAAAAACCGTTATTTAAATTAAAGTTATTTTTATACTTCGGGTATAAGATGTACACAATTTTGATCATCAGTTTCATCATATCTACTATTGATTGCCAATCGATTGATTGTGAATACATAGCAACTAATGGTAGATATAATGGCGTAAAACTGTATAGACATTGGTTTTACGCGGAAGACACGTATTCTTTGCTTTATATGTATTCAAAGAGCAAGAAATGGGATTTTCGTATTGAAATTCCCAAAAACAGTACAAAACCAGTCATATCAAGCGTTGGCACAAATGTAACATCAATTAATTTCATCAACGCTTTCTCGGGGGTATCTTTTATAACAAATGGATATCTAACCTATCGTTGCTATACTTATAATGATGTGAGTAATGGTAGAGAGAGAGANCATTTATACACCAATTACTTTTGTCAACGCTTTTTCCGGTGTAATTTGGGAGTTCAATACACACATAACCTATCGATGTTATACTTATACGAAAGTGAGTTATGGTAGAGAGAGAGAGAGAGAGAGAGAGAGAGTAATGATAAATGCATTTAGTTAACAATAGATCTGATCACTAGTACAACAAAAAACCCGATATCTACACTGAATGCGCGTTTACAGACGTACGGGGTGACATGATAATTAAAAACTATATTAATCAATACGACCGCAATTCAGTGATATTTGTGCCGACCGTTGCGACTCTAAAGCGTCTCAATCCATACAACATAGCGTTAAATACCAACGACCGGTCGGTACGGGTGTTATATTATAAACACACGGGACTTATCTCTGCCAATGAAAGTGATTGCGATAAACCGGATCAGTGCCAAAGACCAGCATTTGTGGATCAAATACCCAATCATTTACTCAAACAACTCGAGGGTATCGTTGACTATGATTTCATTGGCGGAGAGTCCGGACATATGCTGTGGTATAACATCTCAGGTCGACCGCACTATTGCTTCACACCCGCGGGTAAAGCCCTGTCCGAAGAGGTATTTGTTTAATAAAAAATAACAAAATGTAAATTTAATATATTTGCATTTCTTTAGTGCAATTCTACGAAAAAAATGTTTCCGTATTTAAAACATTGTTTCAATACCGGAGATTCTATCGCACATCTAATCATTGCGTTTGTGGTGTTGTTTATCATTTTTGTACTACTCTTTGGATCAGATGTAGTGATGTTATACCGATGGGCGCGACAACCGCCTACAGGACAGGGAACAAAAACTTCGAGTCTTGTCACCGACTTCTCGGTTAATAAGTCATCAAAAATATCGACAAATCCATCAAAAAGAACTAAAATGCCATAAATTAGTGACATTTTATTTGTCCACACGTTTTCCCAATCATTTCTTGTTTCAAATATCTTAAAACTTTTTATTGTATTTATGAATTAAATTGTATTTATGTTTGATTTTAAATTTTGCTCATTAATTATTAATTAACCAATATTTTAAACAAGTAAAATATACACAAATTGTTTGCGCACAAAGAATTGTAAATTTTACTAATAATAAACTATTTCTAATTACTTTTATTTAATAATTATAAAACTTAACAATGTTTTTAAAAATTACTATAAAGTAGTATAATATATACTTTTAATTATTATAATCAGTGATTATTAATCACTAATTATTTAATTTAATAAAACATAAAATCCAAAACTTATTGTTATTAATAGTTTAAATGCAATCAAAAACCGTTATTTAAATTAAAAGTTTTTTATACTTCGGATATCAAATCATTAGAAAATGTACACAATTTTGATCATCATTTTTATGATATCTACTATTGATTGCCAACCGATTGATTGCGAATACATATCAACTAATGGTAGATATAATGGCGTAAAACTGTATAGACATTGGACGGCAGCGAAGAAAACATATCCTCTGTTTTATATGTATTCAAAGGGCAAGAAATGGGAGTTTCGTTTGTTGACAAAACCAATCATATCAAGTGTGGACACCATTTATACACCAATTACTTTTGTCAACGCTTTTTCCGGTGTAATTTGGGAGTTCAATACACACATAACCTATCGATGTTATACTTATACGAAAGTGAGTTATGGTAGAGAGAGAGAGAGAGAGAGGCATTGAATTAACCATGGTTGTATTTATTAACCACTAGTACGATAACAAATCCATTATATACACTGAATGCGCGCAAACGAGCGCAACGGGTGAAACACAAATTACAGTCAATACTAACCATCAATACAATCGCAATTCAGTGATATTTGTGCCAACCGTTGCGACTCTAAAGCAAACCAATCCATACAATATAGCGCTCAACACAAACGACCGGTCGGTACGGCTTTTATATTATAAATATAGGAAACTGTATTACACTAATGAAAGTGATTGCGCTAAACCGGATCAGTGCCGAAGACCAGCATTTCTGGATCAAATACCCGATCACTTACTCAAACAACTCGAGGGTGTCGTTGATGTTGAGGATATCGGTGGCGGAGAGTCCGGACATATGCTGTGGTATAACATCGCGGGTCAGCCCCGGTATTGCTTCACACCCGCGGGTAAAGAACTATCTGAACAGGTATTTGTTTAATAAAAAATAACAAAATATAAATTTAATTTATTTGTATTTTTTAGTGCAATTCTACCAAAAAAATGATTCCGTATTTAAAACACTGTTTTAATGCAACTGAAAATCCCGGTTATGAAAGTAAATCTGACGATTCTGTCACTCATCTAATCATTGCGTTTGTGGTGTTGTTTATAATTTTTGTACTACTCGTTGGATCAGATGTAGTGATGTTATACCGATGGGCGAGACATCCATCTTCAGGACAGGGAACAAAATCTACAACTCTTGTCACCGACTTCTCGGTCAATAAGTCAACGACAAATCCACCAAAAAAGATCTAAAGTACCATAAATTAGTGACTTTTTATATGTCCACAGGTTTTTCAGATCATTTGTTTTTGTTTTTAATACCTTAAAACTTTATATTATATAAACTAAATTGTATTTATGTTTGATTTTAAATTTTGCTCATTAATTATTAATTAACCAATATTTTAAATAAATAAAATAAAGACAAATTGTTTGCGCACAAAGAATTGTAAATTTTACTAATAATAAACGATTTATAATAACTTTTATTTAATAATTATAAATCTTAACAATGTTTTTGAACATTGCTATATAATAATATAATTATTACTTATTAATAATAATAATATTCATAATTATTATAAGTTATTAATAATAACTTATTATCAATATAATCACAAATTATTTAATTTCATGAAACATCACATCCAAAACGTATTGTTTAATATCAATAGTTTAAATACAGTCAAAAGCCGTTATTTAAATTAAGAGTTGTTTTTATACTTTGGATATCAATTCAGCAAAAAATGTACACAATTTTGATCATCATTTTCATGATATCTACTATTGATTGCCAATCGTTTGACTGCAAATACATATCAACTAATGGTAGTTATAATGGCGTAAAACTGTATAGACATTGGTTTGAAGCAAAAGACACGTATTCTTTGCTTTATATGTATTCAAAGGGCAAGAAATGGGATTTTCGTATCAAAATTCCCAAAGACAGTACAAAACCAGTCATATCAACGATTAACACAACTGTTATACCAATTAGTTTTGTCAACGCTTTCTCGGGTGTATATCTATTTCTAAAAGGACATGTAACCTATCGTTGCTATACTTATAATAATGTGAGTAATGGTAGAGAGAGAGAGAGAGAGAGAGAGAGAG